GCACTCGATACGCTGCACTTCATTCGATGTATAACGCTGTGTACCTGATCCATCGATGTAATATTTTCATCGATACAATATGCCATATCGCAATAACAGTCATAGCGCTAAACTATTCGCAAATGAAGCTTTCGGCCCACATGTCTTCTAGTTTCAATATGTCTGTCCGAACTTTAGCAAAACTTCCATGTAGAGGGCGCACTTGCAATACGGCAGAGACAATCTTCTCAGTGTTGTCTGCTTCGCAAAGACGAAAAAACTACTTTGGTGATTTTTTGCACAAAGCTGGCCGGTGTGTCAGCGGGAAGCGATTCATCTCCTATTTTTGATGGTGACAGCTTCTTTCGGTTCTTTGTCTTCCAAACCAGAGAGTGGACAAGCGAAACAAACATTCTGCAGGATGATCTTCTTAGTCAAGAATTTTTGAAAATGGTCTAGTTTTCAAGAATTTGGAGGATCCTTCAGCATTTTCAGTTGAAGAACAGCTTGAAAATGTTTGTAGCTTCGATTTTCATGGGACCTAGTAACCATTATGAAGAAAGCAGTCAGCACTTAGCACTCAGCATCCCAGCACTCTAATTGGACTGATCCAACTTGCAAGAGAACCTTGCAAACACATTGCGGCTGTCAACTACAGCAGCCAATCCAGCAAAAGTTTTGTTGTCGGGTGTTTGGCAGTACGCTCAGGCACGCAAAAAGTCTGTTTGCCTGTTGACCGTCGGATCTTTAGCCTTGTCTGGAGTGGCTTTAATTTTGAGAAAGCAATCCCGTGGAACGTGTGCAAGCATCTTGCCGCTCAGAGATCTAAAGTGGTATGGTCGGGTTTTGACATAATGCAAGCGATTTTTGCAGGCCACTTCCTGCTAAAATTGCAATGTCCACAGTCCAGCAACTCATGCAATTCTTCTTGCAGAAATGCTTGCTGACATCGTCGTGCTTTCTACAAGGCCGGATGGACACTAACATGTGATGTTGCAACGTTTTTCATGCAGCACAAAGATACAAACGTTGCAGCAGGTTAAAAGAGCCATCCATAGCAGTTAGCCGGCACTGAGCGGCTGAACATATCATTTCGAGAAATGCTCCGAAACCATAGAAGCATGTCTTGCGCATGAAGCTGACGTACTATGTTGTGGAGCACTTCAGGAGCTTTATTCGGGTGCAATGTTGCGTCCGGGGACAATCGACACGCCACGCCTGTTCTATGAGAGGCCAACCTTTCAGCTCGGTGGGGAGTAGTGATGTGTTAAGTTTGCTCAAGCAGGACAGTTCAGAACTTCCACGTCAGCCTTTCGGATGTAAATACCGACAACATGACATATTGACACTCTGACTGTGATCAGTTGCAGGTACGACCCTTTCCTGGAAACTCAGCAGTTGCTTCAGGATTGCAGCAGCCACATTTGTCCATGTTTGTGCAACTGTCCCTGTTTCTCCTTTGATCGCCTGCAGCCCATCGGGTGGCCATTTTTGGTGTGTTTAGCTTGAACTCGAGACGATGCCCGCAGCCCAGCAGTTGCTCTTTTTGCAGGAGCACCGGCGGCTGCATGTGCAAGAGCGCCATGCTCGAGATGCCGGGGTGAATGGGATTCTCATGATCGATGCAGGCCAAGGCTGCGTCCAGGAGTTTTGCTGGTTGGTTCTTGAGCTTGGAGTTTGGCGTGCGCCAACCGGCAGACTGCAACGATCCCACGATGAAAGATGATCTCGACAGACAAGGTTGGGCATGTCCGCGCTATTATGAGTCACACGGAAGGGTGTCCGTCACTGATCGACTGCGAGCTTCTCAGATTACTTGCTTGCCAAATCAGCTCGCCGATGTGCCATGTGGAGAAGAATGCCAGTTTCTCACCTGACATACATACTTTAACTAGGACGCTGATAGGGGGCTGATATCATGCGAAGCATCGGTCCCGAGGCCGAAGTCCTGCACGGTCCCCCGGTCCTCTCCGGAAGTTTCCGTTACTTCCATAGACACATGACAGAACGTTTCGGGTGTGCACAACCACTGCTCGTGAGGATTGGTTGTCACAGGGGGTGGCAACGGATGGGTGTGTGCACATGAATATACCTCATGCACTCACGTGAAGACTCAGTGTGCTGCAACGGCTCGAGTTTGTAGGCCTCCACCCGGCGACGCGAGCTTTTGTGTGTTGCCGCTCTCATAGGCTATCCGTGAGTGCTACAAGCATAGTGATGCTTCAAGGTAGCTTTTGCCAAAACTTACTACAGTGGCTAACTTAGCAACATGTACTGACCAGCGTAAGCACGGGCCCAACGTGAAGTTTCGAAGTTCACACCCACCCCCATCCACATGTTACTCGAACCCAACAGCCCATGAAGACCTCACAATCCAGGAGCAAGCTTTGTGCAATCAGATGTTTTCCGGCTATCGGGTTCTGGGGAAGCAGGGTTGTCGCATAAGGTTTCGGGCTTTGATGCCTTGGGTTTGATCTGGTCTGTTTCTTGGATGCACAGTCTGGCTCCGAAAGCACCCTGCTACTGAAGTTTACATAAGACCAGCACCCCACCACCCTGGTCCATCAGCCGGAGCTTGCCAACACCCGTGTGTTGCATTCACTTGCAACGAGTGATTTCACATTCTGGCCTGTGTTTGTGGGTTGTGAGCCTGTGCAAGATCAAGGTTTTCGAAGCAGGGCTATTGATCGCAAAAGCCGACACCAGGCAGACTCAAGCCGGACGACGCCATCCATCATACGGGGAAGTTCAAAGTGCAGGCACACTTGTTTTCATGATTGTAGAGAGCTGCCATTCTCACCAAGTTGTGCTGTCGATCTACTTCTGGCAGAGTGTTGGAGGGAGATCAAAGCAGAGAAGGCGGAACACGCAGAGAAAGCTTTTGCGCAATTATTACAAGCGAGCGCAAGTCTTTGCGCGATCTACATGGCCGATCGCAAGGCAGATGTAGCCCGAAGAAAGCCGGGCGACCCAGACAGACTGTTCAAAGCTGCTTGCATGTCGCGTGTGCTGCCGTTCTCATGAATCCTGCTCGTGGCAGGCTCACTCCTCGCTGCTCTGGTGCAGTGTCTTGGTGGCACCGAGCTGTTGCATATTCTGAGTCCCCTCCATTGAGCCAAGTCGGTAGCCAATGATTCTGACGCGGTCTGAAGATGCATGCCGTCGCTGCTACCATCGTCCAGCTGTGTCTGAGGCCAGGGCTGCTGCAGAAATCCGGAGCCTCTGGCTTTTTGTGCTGTCGCTGTGTACTCTGTATGGTGTGCAGCAAGCCCAACCCAGAAGTGGTGATGGCATTGCGGGAGAATCAGGATTCGGGGGCAGTAGGTTGTTGCAAACCTGGGTCTTGTCCTCCTTGTGTTTGGGGGTGCTTGGGAAGCGTGGGATGTAGCACAGTGGGCTCCTCAGACCGCTCAGGATGATCTGGGACGCTTGAAAGGTTGCGGGATCATACTGGGATTTTGGACGGTGTACGCTTGCACTCCACGCAGAGTAGTATGACTATCGTGATTTGTTTCTGCTGATGCTTGGCTGTATCGCCAGGTTTCGCAGACTCGGCACCGATAAGCCCAAGGACTTCAGCCGCAGGAATGTTCTCCTCAAAGAGCAGCCGCTCGTCAGGAAACCAGAGTGCTTCCGGTAGAGACATGTGGGGATTGGCTTGTGTTGCGCAGAGGGCCGCAGGTCAGAAAACACGACATGCGGTTTTTCTCACAAGGATGTAGCGGTGTCGACTGCATGGGAAGTGCTGGTGTGCAATACGGGTGCAAAGTACTGTAGCACCTTCTGTGTCAATGTATCTGCCACGGCGATGCACCTCCTCACGGATTTCTCCGCCTCTTCAACTCGACCTCCGTTCTGGAGAGGAGAGTTGACATGAATCCAGGCTGCGACATGAGTGCCGTCTGCCTGCTGCAGCAACGTGGGCTGGGGAACAGACCGAGTTCATGCGGCAGAGGCTCTTCGTGCACGGTTCCTTTGGACTTGCTCGGGGCAATGTGCCCTTTCGTGCAGGTTCAACAAGCAAGCCACCATTCGACATGAGCTTGGTGATGGGAGGACTTTGCCACATGAGCGGAGGGAGGACTAGCAAGCTGCGTAAGCATTTGCCTGGAAGCTTGTACTCGGTCAGGTCTCATGGTTCAGGCCTTGAGACAGTTGTGTCTGTAATGGAGATTTTCAGTTGACTCTATGCGGATCGTTTCACTCGTAGAAGATGCCACCCTCCCAAATGAGAGGCCTGACTGGCTCAACTCAGTCTGGCAGCAAGGCTTGCCATGGCTTCCATAGACATGGACAACTGTTAGACTCTGATCGATGTTGCTCTTTCATTGGTTCAAAAGCCGTTATAACGAGTGCATGTCCAACATGATGAATGATGTTGTGACTGAATGTGCAGGCGACTGTTCGCATTCCTTGTGCGTTTCTGCCCAAGTGTTTCACAGAGGAGACATGTGCTGTCTTCCGCCAGCATGCGGGCATGTTCATGCTTGCATTATCACTCATATATCACTCGTAGCTACAGTTTTGGAGCTCAGCCAGGCTTCGACTAGCGCCCAGAAGTATGCTTTTTTGATTATCTCCCTTCGAGGGGAAAAGAAAACAAGAATCGCTTTCCCTTTGTCACGGGAAGGCGTGGGCGAAGGATGGCTGTGCACCGTGTGTGCCGTCCGTGCCTGTGCCGGCCATGAAGGCAGGGCAGAAACGAGGCCCGGCATGATTCTGTGTTGCGTGTAACGGCAGTTTTCTTCATAGGCGTGCAAGAAGCGTGCAAATGCAGGCGGCCAACGAAATTCCGGTCTTCTGTTTGGAGGTCCATTACAGCAAAGTGCCGCAGTATGCGCAGTGCGCGGCTCTGCGAGCTGCGGTTTTTTGCTGTCAGGTGAGCGCCTGCGGGGGGAGGCGCCGGTGCCGACCGTGTGCTTCGACCTCTCCGAGTCGCAGGACGTCATGCTGGGTATAACGCCTGTCAAAGCCCCTTGTGATTTCGCTTTGCATGTTCTCCGTAAGATCATGAGTCATGAGTGAAGTCTTGTGGTATCTTGTGGTTCTCAAACTTAGCGCGCGAATGACAGAACCCCGCAGGCCTGTAGATGGGCGTGTGCAAGGCATCCAAGACTTGGAGTCAAGACGCGAGTATCAAATTCAGAAACTGCGTTTCGACGTAGCAGTGGAGCTGGGAGCTGGGCAGCTGAAAGCCTTGGTCGTGAGCCAAGTCTTCAAGCGTGAGTGTTGCGTGTTGGCCGCGGCGGTGAGGCCAAACGGGTGTTAAGCTCCTTGTGAAATCGTTTCCGGACCTAGGACTGCTGCTTTTAGAACCCTGTTGCAGACTGGCAAGCAGCACCACTCGGACCAACACAGACATGCTGTGATATACTGTTCGGAGTTGACGAAAGAGGTCAGGGAGCGAGACGAAAGGACCCGAGGTGTAAGGCAGCCTCACTCTTGAGCCAGTTGTGCCGGCTCCGTAGAGGAGCAGTACAGCGAGAACGGTGAGCACTTGTCCCATTTTCACAAGGCTTACTTTGTTGACAGGAGCGCGAGCTTCCTGGGACGTCAGTCACCACCACGCCGGCGCCCCAAACCAGATGCGCCGTGCCTTGCTAATGTGCGCTCAATGTATATCATGTTCTTTAGACTTTGCTCCGTGCTTAGCGGTCCTGTTTTCACTCGTTTCCGGTTTTCAAGTCTCGGTTGAGCACGTTGTTTTGAGAAGCAAAATCCTGAGCTGCCCTGCAGCTTGTCGAGCTTTCTTTGCTAATCTGTCGAACTTCGACTCAGCCAAAGGGCAACCTGCCCGCCCGGCCTCGACCCAGGCACAAACACAAAATGTCGCAAACTCACGACAGCGAGAATGTAGCTTTTGGGTTCGTCTTTCGCCTGCGCTATTTACACTTGTAGATCTCTGTCAGATCAGTTGTGCAATAGCGTCACAGTGTGGTGTCCACGTGAGATCGAGTAGTTTGGTTGGATGTGATCCCTGATCTGGGGCCGCGTTAGCTCTCCATATTGTATGCGCTCCAATAAGATTGGTTTTCACTCGTGTCGCTCCTGCGCACACGTCAGTTAGCAATGTTGATCGGTGCTCGGAGGATATCAATGGTTTCAGTGCCTGGACTAAAACGCCAAGGCCTTCCTCCATATTGTGGGTCTACCAGAGGCGACCATGCAACACATAAGTGGGAGATGAAGTTTTGACAGTTCCATTCTGCAATCATAAATTTCGGAGTCTTTCCAGCGAAGCTGCCGTGCATCGGTGCAACTGGCCCCCTGGCACGTGCCGCTGATGCCAATCTCGAAGACGCGAATTGGCCTGAGAAGTGTGAATTTTCTGCACCGACTGAGACTAAAAAGTTCTCGAGAAGTCCACCTGAGCCCTGCTCTAGTGGAGCTAGGTAAAACCAAGTTTTGAAGGACACAGAATGCAAACCGAAGCCGGAGAGGGTCGCATGTTGTGGCAACAGCACAGACGAATGAACACGATGTTGACCGGACTGATTGTCACCATCCCGGGTGTGGACTAGCAGCAGCAGCAGCAGCAGCAGCAGCAGCAGCAGCAGCAAGAGCACCAGCGCCAACTCCATCCCAGCACGAGCGCACAGTGCGACAACGACAACGACAACAAGAAAGACAACTGCAGCAGCAACAACAGCAACAACGACAACAGCAACAACAAAGCACAACCACGCACGCGCTAGTGTTGCGTATGCAATCCCAGGTCTTGCCCTTCAGATGCACACCAGAGTCAGAGGTTGGACACTTTCTGCTTTGGCCTTAAGTTATACAGTGGGCAAAGGCAAGACATGCCAGGCATAATGGCTTGACTCCGCCGACTTTGGCCGAGCATTATGGCCTGCAGCTGAGTCAATCCACGTTGTTGAAAGCTCTTGACTGTGAAAGTTTGGAGCTCGCTGATCAGCCAGTAGCCAGCACATGTGCTGTGCTGTCATTTTATAGTTTCAGGAGCAATGCTCCAACGGGAAGAAGAAGCTCGGATTCGGGTTGAGGCCGCCTTTTTTGTTGGTGTCGTTGCTGATGCACATCCTATTCGCATGGGGTATGGTGGAATCCAGCACGTTCAGAGAGTGCCGTGTGCGTGTGTTAACGGCATTTTGTCTGCTTTGCCTCTGCCCGTGCATCTGCGCTTTGACCAGCTCCGCGAGGAGAAGCTTCGCTTGGCTGATGAGCGATTACGCTGCTGCTTGGCATTGCTTTTTCCACTCGTCTTTCGTCTCTTCGACCGAGATTTGATGCAGTTTTGTTGAAGCTACAGCTAAAGGCCCCGACTTGCTGATACATGCTGTCACAATCCACGACGACCCAGAAATTGGATTTGTGGAGTTCCCCAAGTAGCAATCGAGTCGCCGCTGGCGCATGTCATGAGTATGCTGGTATGGCTAGCTCTCCCACGTAGCCACACTGCCGCCATTCGTACAGATGCACAAACAAAACTGTACCCAGAAGACTCCCCAGTGCCCGGCCTCCAGCCCGGGGCTCGAGCGTGGATCATGGGGTAACAGCACACAGCACCCAAACCAGTGTCATGAATGAAGTGGAGGTTGGTGGGGTTAGCATGTATGAAAGCTATGGGTCTGAAGGCACTGGCCCGGTCCTCGGCGCTGACTGGACTGATAGGATGTGTTGTTGTGTAGCACACTTGTGTGCGAAATGACAACTTAATTGCTTTCAGCAATCACCGATCGATTCCGTGGATGTACATGAGTCTATGACTTCGAACGTCGCATTCCATAGCCATTCCGGCTCAAGAATCGAATTGAAACTTTTCTTCTTTTCGGTTATTCTCCCTCCTCGAGCTAGTTCGAAAGCTCTGGCTGAATGGCGAAGCAACTCCTGGTTTGAGGTCCTCTGCGAGGGCAGTGTCGAAGCTTTTGAAGCAGATGTGCCGCCGAGCATGTCTCAGGCTTTCCCGAGGTGAGATTTACCGAAGTTATTCACATGAGCAAGACTCAATTTCGGGTGTGTCCCCGATACTTCGATGGCGAGAACTGCAATGACCGGACGACGTGCCAGTATATGCACCGCGACTTCCTCATGTTTGCCATAAGTGGTTCCAGGGTATCTGTCGATACCCACGAAGTTGCTGGAATCAGCACGGAAACAGCTTCGATACAGCAACGAGGTCTGCGGTCAGACTACAGGAACAACTCCAGGCAACCGCCCTTCGCGCTTACAATGCCGCCGAAGGGGGTACAGTCCGCCAGGTCTCCCGCACTGCGCTGAGGCTTCCCAGTATATCCTCGAAGCCATGGCAATTTCCGTCGGCGAGAAATTCGCAAACCGCGGCTTGGAACCAACTACACCCTCTACTATGACTACCCGACATGGGATGTCTCCGGTGACGACGTTCGTGTATGTGCATCAGAGGAAGATAAGAACGACGGCTCAGCGATCAAAGGCCTGCACGAGGGCGATCTCTGAGAAAGTATACTTTCCTCGCCTGTCCACATCGAAACCACCAGAGCAGAGTTTTGGTTGGATTCCAGGACGTCGAGTCGAGCATCCCGCGACGGAGTTCCTTCCCCCTGGTGAAGCCGACAGCTACCGCGAGAAGAACCATGGGCAGTGGCACAGTCTCCGGACCCGCGATGCACCGCGATTCGGTGTGGCCCGTTCCTCTTTCTGCTCAGGCGATGTAGAGGACGGCGCTACTAACTACGAAGCGGCATCCACCTGCGCAGCCGAGTACTACAACGGGGGCAGAGTCACCAGCATCCGTCGAACACACCCATCATCGTCGAGGTTGACGAGAACCCCGACGGAAAAGACGAGCAATCCGGCTGCAGCCTATGACCTTGGGAACGAGGTGGAGGACGAGATCCAACCGGCTCGTGCTCAGAAAGCGCCCGTTTGCCAAACACCGACTGGCAATCGAGCACCCGATCCCAGAACTCAGACGGGATTGTGGGATTCCGAATGGATCAACGACAACATTCCCGAATCTGCTCGTCCGGCTACTCCCCCACCGTCGAGACCTACACCGAGCGAAATGGTCCCGGTGAAGGCTCGGCCCAAGACTCCGATGAACCTCGATCTAGGACGACTTCTTTCGCAGTGACCGTTTCACTTGAT